TATATATATATATATATATGAGCCTCTTATTTGTTAAATACTATTGATTATTTGTTACATTGACGAATATTAATTTACAACAAATCAATCGGTTTTTTAATAAATATCACTTTATTTTCCCTTGATTTGTTCCTATAATAAAATCATTTCTCTCAGTTATGCGATGAAATAAAAGAAAAGACTTTGTTGAGAAATATTTTGCGAAGCTTTTAAAAAGCATAGAAAAGGTCAAATAAATTGAATCGTTCTTGACATGATTCAGAATTTCAAAATATATCAATCGTAATTTTGTAGAAAAGGAATTGATCTTTGTTATCAACTTGTCGTTTACAGTTCTCAAAGCTTTCTATGAACTTTGTACCTTGGTGAGTTTAAAATTTCTTTGATTACGCGCACGATGAAAAGTAGATGATAACGATAAGAGACATTTTCCTCAAACCAATTAAAACGACACTTTCCGCAATTTCTTTTACGATGAACTAATGAATATTCATTCTTTGCTCAATTTAATAAAAGCATACAGATCGCGAATACGTGCAACTATCACATTTCTAGAGCGATATTATAATTTCTATAAAATATACATGTATATATGTATATCATATCACTCCATTATAATGTGACGTACCAAAGATAAAGCCTTTTGCAATAAATCATTAATTTATTTCGTGTCGCGATTTAATTTTCATATTTTAATTATTTGATAAAACGCTATTCAAATATATATATATATAGAGAGACTATCCGAAGATATTACTCCAAGAAACTTTGTCTCGTACTCTTCTGAATCATTTGATCCTTTCGACAGAATAATTTGTGTTAAAAATAGGCGACGGTGAAAGCGAGGACGCGTCGCGACAGCCTCTCGTCCTTTGAAGGGACGGTGCACGAGTCTGTGCTGTTTTTCACAAGTTTAATTCGTTACAAAGGGGACAAGTGTGCACGACTTAGCGGTATACACGTATACGAGCGCGAGATTCACCCTTTCTGTCATCGTCTTTTGCCTCACGCCCTCCTCCTCCTCCTCCTCTTCCCCAGAGGGGATGACCACCCCCGACAGACGGGGGATGATGTCGGTGAGAGGGCTCGAATATCGCTCGAGCCCGACGCCGTCGACCCATGCACACACCCGCCGCGCCGGCCGCACACATTCTTTATATATAATTTCGCGTTAATCTACGCGGCGGTGCGGCGCAAAAGCGAGTCGCGCCGCAAAGTGAGGCAAAAAGGTTCCACTTGGCTGAGCGTGAAACGGGACACAGATTAAATCCCATCCTGTGCAACCCCGGCGTACGACGTCGCGGCACCCTCGTCCTCCCCCGGCCTTCCTGCGTCGGTTCGCTCGGTCGAGCCACCTCTTGCCACCCTCGCCAAACATCCCCCTCCTCCTGATCTCTGCGCCGGACGAGAGGCGGTCTTTAAGCGCGAAAACGATCGCCAGGTATTTAAGATGCGCGAATAGACGCGACGAATGTAGCGAGCTAGCGAATCGACTTTATAATTGGGTCCTCGATAGAATTTTTTGCGAGGTCTATTCGACAATGAGAACGGAAATTAAACTAAAAGACTTATTTCCTGGATTTATTTTCTCTTGAATTTCTAAGCGTTTATACACTCTAAAAAATAGCATAGCAATAGCATCTATGTAATTCTCACTGTGCTAATATTAACATCAATGCGATGTGAATTTAACACCATAGGTGTTAAATACATACCATGATGATGTTGATATAAACTTCAGGGATTTGAAATCCACACCATATTGGTGTTAATAAATACAGTGAAAGTTATACAGACACCGCATGTTAAATCCATACCGATACTTTTTACAGAGTGTATAAGAAATTGCACAGAAACGTTAATATACGTAATCTACAATATACGAAGTAAGCTTGGTATAAAAAACAAGAGTAAGAAATTGACTAATCACGGTCGAATGTGAGAAGAATGATTGAATGTAATTGGTCAATTTCTTACTTTTCCTTCTTACACCAAGCTTATTCTGCATATTGTAGACGACGCATTAAAATTCCAAAAACGTCGAAACACTTGATCAATTTCGTGAATCATTGTGTACATACATAGATCCTAGACGAACAAACATTAAACCCGTTGGAAAGGAACGATTGATCGTTACCCGATAATAGAAACAAAACAGTTCAGCGGAGCGGTTAATGCGCCACTCCAATTTCCAACGATGACGGAAAGTTTGCAGCGAAATAGTTGTTTAATGGGATGTAATAATAGTTTGCGGGTAATTAGTCCCGCGTTGCGACTCGAAACCGGCCGAACGTAATCAGTTACAGAGTGTGCCGGTTCGAATTCATTTAACGAACTGCTGTTTATCCGTCGACATCCATAAAAAATATCGTTTTCGCGACCAAATTGCTTTCACCTCTCGTCGTTGCATCGCGCATACGCTAAATAATATAATTATGCGCGCCGACCGCATTAATTAGACACACACAAATCGTCCAACTTTCCGAACTTGATATAATAGAAGCGATTACAAAACAGATATTTCCGTTGCGATAATACAAAACATGTTATTAGACTGCTAGGAAAAAAGACATTTGGAATCAGCCGGTTTCCCAGTTTATTGTAAGTATACACAATCGAGAATTAACGAACATTTACCGCGACTCAATTATCCAATTGTTTACATTGAAAATTAAGATAAATGTGACGGCAAATAACTAATAATTGAATAAATAACGGAAGAGAGATTTCAAGAAAGGATCCCATACTAATTATATGGAAAATTGAGTGCTAGTGAAATGAGCTAATTTTCACATATAATGTAGCTTACAATGACTTGAACAAAAGACGTCAGATATAAAGCTTAATAACGAGTAGTTTTTGAGTTATGAAGAATAAAAGTGTCAAACTTGTAAACATCTTTTTAATATACTGTAGCTCAAAAACTATTCATTATCGAGCCTTATAACATCTATTATTCATCACATTAAAAACTAACTTATTCCACCGGAATACAATTTTCCATATAATTAATGTGGAGTTTTTTATTCCAGAACCTATCATTATGTTAATGATAACAAATTCTCACTGAACATTTACAAGATCTAGTCGCGATCATTTCCGGTGACAGTCTTGGAATCTGTTAGCGGCATAACGTCGAGCGCTCGGATGCGCTTCTGAAGTCGACGCGTTTGTCGAGTGTCACCGACTAAACATTATTATCACGTTGGTAGAGATTCCGAAGGAAGAGCAAACCGGGGGTTGGGTTGGGAGGGAAAAGGGTGCAGCCGAGCCGGGGTACAGCCTCCGAGCGTTTCGTCATAAACTCGGCGAATACGGAAAGCGACGGAGAGCGAGAGAGAAGTTCATCTCGTGCGCGTCTTTCAACGACATCAAAGATGGCGTGCCAGGCATACGCTCTCTAATGAGTTGAATCGCGGTAAGAGCGCTCGCGCCCGCTTTCCAAGAGACGACGAATTCATTACGGACGGTGTTAAGAGGCGACGGCGCAGTATTAGCAACCCGCCATCCCCCGGCAACGCATACTCATTACCGCGCTCGTTATTATTGACACCAGTGTGTAAGGCAGCTCACAAGTATGTGTCTTCCCTGTAGCTTTTCGCAGGTAAATACCGAACTCATGGCCGCGGGGTTAGTAATTCACGTACGTTCGCGCGTTCGTTACTATTCACGTATAACAAGATGCTTCACGCGGGAATACGCGAGATAACGCGATAATCTCGACGCCGCTGCGCAACGATTAAATAAGTTTTGCGCCGGTAAACGGGATAACGGACCGTGAAATCTCGACTCGATAAACACTCATTGTCGAAAGGAGCTATTGTCGTAACGAGTAAATGCAACAGCAAATCTTGAGATCATCGAAGTAATTAACTTGTCATTCGTATGTAGTTTCTTTACGCCATCGGCATTTAATTGATTTTTCAATTCTTCGCGCTCATGAACGAGTTATCTTCATTTGAGTTATACTCTATTTGACAATTGCATACGAAATGTCGCGAATGTGTTGCAAAAGATTTAATGGCTTTAAACCTATAAAGTTTAATATTTAAATTCTGGAACGCCAAAATCTATAATTACTAACGCTGGATCTGTAAGATCCAATTCTTAGTACATACAATTCATTCGTGTTCTGCACATTTCTATTCGAAAATTAGAAGCATCAAATAATTATAGTTATAACATTTATATACAATTTTTTTTTAATATATAAATACTTTCAAATAATATTAAAGATCATATGTAAGAATCACTTAATAGTTCTTGTATATTTGTTGTGATGAAAATTAATTTAGGATACGAATGATTCATTGTATAAAGAAGGATCAAAAAATGGTCATTTATACTAAAGGTTAATATATGTTCATTAAAAAGTACTAATTAATTTAAAGAAATAAAAACAACATAACTCGTATAAAAAAATACTTACTTTTAATAGGCCGATATTCATAATCAAATCTTATGCTTAAGTCTTAAGATATTATGAATCAATCAGACAGCCGTATCTTAAGACATTACTTAGAACAATCTTAAAATAAAAACGGACTATAAATGTCAGACTTCAGTATTTTGTCATATGAGTGTTGATTTATTCCTTGAAATTAATTAATCTTTTAATAAACATGTGTTGATCTTTGGTACACGTAATAATTTATTACAATACTTCAAATCTCCAGATAAAATATATAAATGAGTGGCTTCAATAAACTTATGCCAGCTCTCGAGGCTTAATAGAATAAATAGCTTTTCATATACACACACATAAAGTATTTCTAGAATCCGCCTGCAGTTTCTCTCAAATAAACCGAATGTAACCGAATACACTTAGCTTCCGTCCCAATACACCGACAGCCACGTAAACCGGAGAGCCAAACTGGCGTACTCGAAGTTCTTCTACATATATACCTATAGGCAAAAGTTATCGGTCTCTATAGTGTCTCGCGGACGTATTGCGGAACCGCGGTCTCTATTGATTAGTCGCGGGGATAATCCCGCGGCGCCGACATTTATTACCCCCTTGGAAGCGGAGGCAGGTAATCTCCGCAGCCTCCGTGCTCTGGCACGCGCGAGATTCGATCCAGAGCCCGTAACCAACGCGCGGAACCCATAACCATTAACAAATCTCGTGTAGCGACGAGAACGAAATAAAACGTTCTCGTGAATCGGCCGTTTGATTCCAAATAGCTTCTGGGGTTTTTATGGAGAACCGAAGGAAGAGGAAACGCTCTCCTTCCCTCCCTCTCTCTCTTTTTTCCTGACATATACATAAGAGAAGGAGAAAATACGAGAAGAAGCAGATTGGTGGTTGGACGAATGAAAGAAGGGCGCATTCGTGCCACGCGAGCATTGTCCGCCTCCGAAGCTAATGCGAGGAGGGGGCATTATAGGAAGAGAAAGAGGGGGGAAAGCACTTACCCTCCTACAAGTCCCATTATGATCTCGCGTGGGCCGCGTCTCTGCTCTGGAATAAAGTGTGGGTAACTCCTCGACCGGAGAGAAAGATTATGTTGCGTCGAAACAAATTGGCGGTATAAGCAGCCCACGCTTATTGTCGGGGGTGCGAAGGAAGGAAGGTCTGAGAATCAACCTAACCGATTGTTGCCGGGTGTGGTGCGCGTTGGGGTTGCGAGGACGAATCTCTCGAGGTGCAAGAGGGCCACTACCCTTCGCCTCACCGGAATCACTGGCGAAGGGGCCGCTGGCCCGACAGAAGCCGACCAAAGGCGTGTCAAGTTACCAACTAACCCCCGGGGGTAACCGCGAGCTCACCTAAGCTCATAAGCGTACGCGTATTTACTCGTCCCTTTTCTCATATAACTCATCACGAGTTCGTCGGAAGGGCTGTAAGTTTATCAAAATCATCTACCTTAAGAAAACTTTGATTCGCATAAGTTACGATTTACTTGTCACTATTAAGTTAGAGTAGTAGTTATGAGAAGGATAATACGACGATACATGGAGTAATTCGCGTCACTATCTGTCTACTTGAGTATCATCCCACGAATGATAGCACGACGAGACGCGAAAATAACACGCTATACCGTAAAAACAAATATTAAGGTCGTATATTCTAATCGATACGTTGTCGCCCCAAAACGTCCTTTATCGATAATCAATAAAATACTTTATCCTCATATTTGAAATCTTATGAAGAAAGCTTATGAGGGTCAAATTTAACGTCATATTTAACCCTCCGGAACTGACGTGAGTCTCTATTGGATTACTATATTTTTTATTTTACATCTACAAATTTGAATTATTGTTATTAAAATAAACTTAGCATTCATTTTTTTATAGTTAGAAAAGTTATGTTATTTTAATTCCTTAAAATTAAGTACGACTTTTTAATCAACATATTTCTTGCTTACTTCAAAAGTGACAAAAAATTAAGTTTCCTAAAAAAGAAAAAAAAATTGTTTTTTATTGCATAATCAATATCAGTAAAAGAATATATTTTTAACATTTCAAATGTATTTTTGTTATTTTCGCTTTATAACCTTTTAAAAAAACTACCTTTTTTTAGTTGCAACGATTTTTTTTAAACTACTTTTCTTAAGTTGTAACAATTTTTTAATAAAAAGTTAAATTAATTCACTTTTGATGATAGGATAATTTTCATTTAACTAATTTATGGTACGATTCAATAAAAATTATATTTTTTTAATTAGATACATTAGAAATAAGAAACTGACATATTAAATATGGATTTCACAGACTTAGTGTCAGTAATTATGTTACAGATTTTGGTGTCAGCTCCGGAGAGTTAAATGTATGTGTTATTATCTTTAATACATAATATTTTTAATATTTTGAATATTTAATATTTCTAAACAATGTAATTCTTAACGTTTTCAGTGAAAAGTTTTCGAAAAATCTTATATTATTTTTTATCTTTCTTTATATATTGTATATCATTTTAATTTTTCATTCTTATTTTTCAATGTCATCTTATTTTTTATATATTATCATTAAGTACTCTTAGAATTAGTGAGAGTTAGCGCAACTGATTCTTGATTACTTAATTACAAGATACGCATACTTGTGAGTTAATAAACTTACATGGATTAATTACCATAATTCCATTTTACTCTAACCATCAAGTGAGAGTCAGATTGCTTCTCAAGAAATCACTATAATTAAAGAACTCGTGAAAACGCACGACAATGCAAAAATTTATAAAAAGAGTCAAATTTTTCTCTGTCATGCGTTGTTCGGTTGAATATAACAATAAAATTTTTCTGATCTATTTACTTTATTTCGCTTAACTATAATTACGTCTCCAATTGAAATTGAAAAATTATTCTTCAGATAGTGACTTACTCTTATAATACTTAGTACCATAAGACAGTTTTCCACATCTTTATTTAAACAAAGTGTTCGGTAATTAATTAGTTTTCTCGCAGAACAAATCAATTATAGTTCTCGCAAATGATTCCATCTACCGAACCAAAGAGTTGTTCAGTAATTCTCATTTGCTGAATATAAAAAAAAAATCAGCCATTTGTTTACCGATTATCGGCTACCTGCGGCGTCAATGCTATTCCAGTCAATCGCCAAACACTTCGTTTTCTCGCAGTGGTTCGCGTAAATGAAAGTAAATTGATTCCTGCACCGACCTTTATGCGGCATCTTC